AATCGGGTTGAACCCCGAGACATTTAGGCAAAGATTTTGCCAAGAATGGTACCCCACCGGGGTGCGCCCTAGGGCGGTCGCCCTGAGGTTGCGGGAAGCATGTAGGAGATGGCTGAAACCCGAAAAACGGACTACTGGTCAGTTGGTCGATGTCATTGTGCTAGAACAATTCCTGCAGATTCTGCCGACAGACGCCCGAAAATGGGTAAGGTGGCAGCAGGCCACAACTGTAGCGGATGTGGTCACCCTAATGGAAGCCTATATGGCCGTGGAGGGTGCAGGGGAGATGACAGGGGAAGGGCGAGGACAACGCTCACCAGTAGGCCGGGCCCGGGTTCCCCGAGGCGGCTGGGGGCGGACCTATGGAGGGCACGAAAGGGGGGTCCCCGACTATAGACCCACCACCCTAGATAGTCCCCCTGGAGAAGGAGCGAAGGGGGTTAAGGCCTCGAGAGAGGAGGAACCTATACGCCCTTCGGGGTCAGGAACCGGTAGCTGAGGTGCATGTTATCAGTGTGGCCAAGAAGGCAATTTCCGCCGGGACTGCCCATTCATGGACTGTTCATTCGGATGGGTGGTGGCCCTAGGCCCTAGGGCTCGTCCTAGGGAAAATGAGAAAGTGCTGGCCCAGCTGAAGGTATAAGGGCAGGAGGTTTGGGCCCTAGCTGATACCAGCTGTGGGAAAACCATGATCCTGGCCTCCCTGGTCCCTCACCCAGGGCCAACAGGAACACCTATATGGTTGAAGTGCATCCATGGGGACGTGAAACCCTATCCCACGGCGTGGGTAAAATTGTCTGATGGACAGGACGAGGTGATGTGCCAGGTGGCCATGTCTGAAAATTTAGAATACCCAGTACTCCTGGGGCGAGATTGGCCGGGCTTCAAGCGACTAATGGAAGGGTGGACTCCTAGGCCGGCCGACGAGCAGGAGGCCGACCGGTTGGAGAGTGCGCTAGCGGCCCATTAGGTTGGGCAGGCCCGAGATAGGAGTCCTGAACAAACGGGAGATGTAGGGATGGGCCCGGATGCCTCACAGGACTGGAGCCAGACCTTAGAGGGCAATGCCGAAGGGGACTTCGTCCAGGAACAGCATAATGACCCGTCCTTACAACGGGCCTGGGAGCAAGCCGGCAGGACGACCAACAAGGGGGGATGAAGACGCAAGGCTAAAACAAAGGCCCTTTTTCGAGGTACGTGTGGACTGTCTCTACCAGGTAACCAAGGCAGTGGAGGGCAGGGGTATCCTCAGGCAGTTGTTAGTACCGGCGGTGGGACGCTGGAAGGTATTGGAGCTGGCTCACTCGAACCCGTGGGTGGGTCATCTCGGGAGGGAGAAAACGCTGCAGAGTATAACCCACAGATTTTTTTGGCCCAGGATACATAAGCAAGTGAGGGATTTTTGCAACTCCTGCCCCGAGTGCCAGCTCACCCAACCGCGAGAGATAAACAAGGCTCCTCTGGTCCCCCTCCCGGTGATAGGGGTGCCCTTTGACCGGGTCGCATTTGACCTCGTTGGACCGGTCGAGAGGTCAAAGGCCGGGCACCAGCATATATTGGTTCTAATAGACTATGCCACCTGATATCCCGAGGCGGTGCCCTTGAAAAACACCACGTCGCAGACCCTCACAGGAGAGTTAGTGAAAATTTTTTCTCAGTTAGGGATACCCCGAGAAATACTCACGGACCAAGGGACGAATGTCTCTTCTAAGCTAATGGCAGAACTATGCCGCCTATTACAGATTAAAACTCTGCGCACCTGTTTATCACCTCAGACTGACGGGTTGGTGGAGCGTTTTAACCGCACGCTAAAAGCCATGCTTCGGTTCACGGCGAGTGACCCGCACGAGTGGGATAAGTTGTTGCCAGCACTGCTGTTTGCTGTCCGCGAGGTACCCCAGGCCTCAACCGGGTATTCCCTGTTTGAGCTCCTCTATGGACGTCAGCCCCGGGGGATCTTGGACCTGTTAAGGGAAACCTGGGAGGACCAGGGAACCCGAGTCCAGGGAACGGTTTCCTATGTTCTTCTCTTGAGGGAAAGACTGCATCAGCTGGTGGAGTTTGCAAAGGTTAACTTAATGCAGGCACAGGACAAGCATACTTTTTACTATAACCGGGATGTGCGGGCCCGGGAGTTTAAGCCGGGAGATAGGGTGCTCCTCCTTCTCCCGTTCTGCAAATCTAAATTACTGGCTAAGTGGCAGGGGCCTTTTGAAGTTGTTTGTAAAGTAGGGGCGGTGGACTATGAGGTGCGCTTGGTGGGGAAGCGAAAGGGCACTCAGGTTTATCATGTCAACCTGCTGAAGAAATGGAACCCGAGGGAGGGCCTCTTCTTGGATCCTCAGTCCCAGCTCACCGAGCTGGGGCCATGGGCCGGAGACGTGAAATCAACTTGCAACGTAGATATAGGCCCAGAATTGACAGCGACTCAAAGGGAGGAGATACGAGACCTACTCCAGGAGTTGAGGTCAGTGGTTAACGCCGTGCCAGGGTGTACCTGATTAACCACCATGTGGCCATCAAACCCGGATGTAGGGTGAGGGAACCAGTACGCCCTCTTCCTAGGAAAATGTGGGAGGAGGTCCAGAAGATGCTGCGGTTAGGGGTGATAGAAGAATCGCATAGCGAATGGCGCAGTGCCATTGTGCTGGTCCCAAAACCAGACAGGACCATACGATTTTGTGTTGACTTCTGAAAAGTTAATGCGAATTCCTGGTTCGATGCTTATCCCATGCCCCGTGTGGATGAGCTCTTAGAACGGCTAGGCCAGGCCCAATACATTTCCACGCTAGATCTCACAAAGGGGTATTGGCAAATCCCGCTGACACCCACCTCCCAAGAGAGGACCGCCTTCTCCACCCCTTTCGACCTCTACCACTTTAAAACCATGCCCTTTGGGCTCCACGGAGCAGCCGCTACTTTCCAGAGACTCATGGACCGCGTGCTAAGGGGACACCAGCAGTACGCGGCTGCATACATAGATGATATAATAGTGTATAGTAGATCATGGGAAGACCACCTCCAACATCTGTGAGCATTCCTGGAGGCACTGCAGCATGCCAGGTTGACAGCGAACCCGGAAAAATGCCACATAGGGCAACGGGAGGTGATCTACCTGGGGTTCATGGTAGGGAGGGGACAATTGAGACCCCTAGCCAGTAAGGTATAGGCCCTAGCCAACTATCTCCCCCCCTCCCCCGGACGAAAAAACAGGTCCGGCTATTCTTGGGCCTAGCTGGGTACTACAGGCAGTTTATTCCGAGGTTCACGTCAGAGGCCGCTCCATTGACAGATCTCACAAAGAAGAGCAACCCGAAGCAAATAGTATGGACAGGATGGTGCGCGCGCGAGTTCCAGCGATTGAAGACAATTTTAATGAAGGCCCCCGTCCTAGTACAACCAGATTTCACAAAAGAATTTACCTTACAGACTGATGCATCCACCGTGGGCCTTGGAGCGGTGCTGACTCAACAGTTAGAGGGAAAAGAACACCCAGTAAGTCGCAAGCTATTCCCTTGCGAACAACGGTATGCCACGATTGAGAAAGAAGCCCTGGCGGCAAAATGGGCAGTGGAGACTCTGGGGGTATGTTCCACGAGGAGTAACGGTAGTTCGGAATAGGAAGCCTAATACGAACTACCTAGTCCGTGCCGCATGTAGCCGCGGGCACGGAGTCCGAACTAGCGGACATTTAAAAATGGCGGTGCCTGGCAAGATGCAAATGAAACCCGGGAAATTCAAATCCCAGGCTTCATTTGCAACTTCGGTTGCCTACATTAACCACCCTACTTCAAACTAGACATACCCTGAGATATTATTTACTTCAAATTGGTGACCGACCATGCCCCTTTACGGTGGATCCAGGCGATGAAAGAAACCATCCCCCTGGTTATGAGTTGGTACCTTGCCTTACAGGCATATAAATTCGAAATACAACATCGTCCGAGACTAAAGCACGGAAACACAGACTTCTTTTCCAGGGTTATGAAAGAAGGGGAAGGGCTGAGCAGCGGGACTGTAAGTAACTTAAAGGGGGGATGTGTGATGGGGCGCGGGGCTCCGCAGGCACAGAGGCCCCGACCCCCCGCACTCCGCATGCTCTTATAGGCGCCGGGAGTCCCAACCCTGCTGCCAAGGCGACCACACAGGTGGGGGCAGAGGCGCCTGATCAACCCTGGCTAGATCCGCATCTCCAGGGGCCGGAGAGATTATGAGGGAGCCAGCCCCAAGAGAGAGCCAACCAGGGCAAGACGCGAAGTGACGTCATCGCCCCACGACCGGAGGAGGCGGAGACAGGACCGGCGGGGGAATCAAAAGGGCTGGAACAGCCGACCTGGGAGGAGGCCTATTTGGGAGCTGGGGAGCGGCGAGTGAGCGGCCAGAGCTGGTGAGCGTCGGGGGAAGACACCCGCCCGGCGGCATCAGGGTCCGGAGTCGGGACTCCGGGAATGGGGTGTGGCTGTCTTCCCCTCTGGCCGGACCACTGGGCAAGCGGTCCGACCTCCCCGGGCGGCAGCGGGCCGCTCTGTAGTATTGACTGGCTGTATTGGGGACACAGAGACCTAAGAGCACGGGTGGTTAAGGGTTAACTAGGGGCCGGCAACCCTGATGATGATAGGGCTGTAATCCTGAGGGGGAGCCCGCCCCCTATCAGGCAGCATAAAATAGAGTACTGAGAATGGAGAACTCCTGAATTCTGTTCAAGGGTCTTCCATTGACTTTCTGTGGTTTCTTTAGCAAGTCACTTAATATCTCTGCCTCAATCTCCCCAAGCATAAGATAGGGAAAATAATACTTACCTAAGCCATGTAGATCAAGCTTTGTGGCTCAGTTGATTACGGTTTACACAGTGTTTTGCAAATATCAAGTTCTATGCAAATGTCAAGCATTATTCATATTCTTTGATGGATTTTCTTATGAAAATGGAACTGAATCACTAATTTTTAAGAGCAGTTTTCTTACACCGTTTTTCACAGGGTTGCACTTTGACACAAGAATTCCTATGAGATTGCATTTGGTCAGTCATCTTCCCCAAGCATTGAGAGATGCTTCAATCCGCTCAAAATAAGGGGGTCCAGGGATGAGATTAAGAGAAGGTAAGAGAAGTGGATTCTTGAGATGGAGGTAGGAGCTGCAAGTCCTATTACTTATTATGACTCTAATTATTGTATTTATGTGTTAGCATAAATGGAAGAACATACTAGCTCTTTTGGACAGCTTCCAGAGTGTTTTCAAGAAATTACTTATTTGCACAATAGTTGGACCAAGATATGGAGTGTAATTCAGAGAAATAAAGAGTAGATGAAAGTCAGGACACCTCATTATAAGAGGTCCTTTTGCTTTGTTTCCAAAGCCAAAGCTCTAGGAACACTGTCTGCTCCCACTCAGTTGAGCCACAATGTGGACAAGTACAATCCTTCAGCCTTAAAATTTCCATCTTGTTCTGGAGAGGAGCTCATTCTCTGAAGTGTTAATTCCACTAGATGACAGTGAGTTCCTTTATGCAGAAAACAAAAAGAAACCCCCCATTCTTCCACTGAGGATGGGTGGAATTTTAAAGGCTTAATATTATAAATACCTGGCCACCCATTGCATTTCCTACTTCATCCTCAGAGATGCTCTCTTCTTCCTCATTATCGGTAGAACTGCTGAATTTAGTAGGTCATAAACTAACATTCAGCCTCAGCCTCAGCCAGTTCTGAGCTTGCATTCCGAGCTTCCACCAGACCTGAAAAATATATCATAGACTTCAGGATGTCTTCATAGAAATCCAAGCTAGTGGGCCCAGCAGAAGACAGGAAAAAAATGATCTTGTACCCAGGAAAGCTTTGTTGTCCTTGAGGGCACGTCTATGCAGCAGTGTTGCGCTATTCTGAAATAAGGTAATGCATGTCTATACAGCAAGACTGTTATTTCAAAATAAATTTGAAATAATGGGCTCTTACCCTGACTTCTGTAAACCTCATTGTATGAGGAGTAACGGAAGTTCAGGAAAAGTGCTCTCTTTCAAAGTAAGTGCTATGTGGACATGACCAAAATCAAAATAAGCTATTTCAACTTAAGCTATGCAGTTGACATAGCTCAAATTGAGTAGCTTATTTCGGGTTTAGCTCTATTGTGTAGACATGCCCTGACAGAGACAGAGATATGGGGAGAGCAAGAGTTCAAGGAGAGTGTGACAGGATCAACTCTCCACTTCCGGTCTCACACCACATTGTGAAGGAGGAAGTTACTCTAATCCTCTTGGATTTCATTGGAAAAATTCAGTTACATCAAAACAGGAAGGAGGTATTTTCATGGCTTGTGATATATCAAGAAGATAGTCAAGGGCACTCAGGATTAATCTGGGTGATGTGCACTAAGCCAGGCAAGGCAAACTCTCTAAAAAGAGACACAATTGTTAAAATTCAATAGACTTACATTGGTGGAGTCATCAACTGGATTGGGTAAAGTGCTTGAGGACAGAGTGCAATGGACAGGCTGTGTTACCAGAGTGATGGCCAAGATTACACATCTGGTGATCTAAAGTGGTTTCCTGTTTGCCTAGAAGTTCTTTACCTCTAATTTCCTTGAAGAATCCCTTGAGCACTTTCCCTAATGAGTTACTCTGCATAACACTAAAAAAGAATATATGAAAAGGACTGACACTTGCAGCCTCAGTGATTAATCCAAATCAGTCCCCTCTGCACTAACCATATCATAGCTCATTGACAGGGAGCTGTGGAGACAATGTGTGTGATGGTTCTATTGTAATTCAAGAAGATCCTAGAGACGTAGGGTACGTCTAGACTCATGGAATGAGGTTTACCGGGGCTGCCGACAAAGGGCTTTGATGTCGTCAGGGGGAACGTCCAGACTAGTGCGCGAGCCGACAAACAGCTGATCAGCTGTTTGTCGGCTCAGCACGGCAGCCAAGTAAAAG